TCTGTTCATGTACAAAAATACATATCTGATGTTGCACCATGTGTGTAATTCTCAGTAATAACACTCTAGACTTGTACTGTTCAGGCAGAAAGACCCTCGACCCCCTTACTATCAGAAGGGTAGGCACAGGTGTGTGCTGTAGGTTTAAACATAGGGTAAACGGAGAGTAGAGGAAAATAACAATCTGGTGAATTCAGAGAAGTACTTTACTAAAGCGGTAAAAGACAAAATGTACGATATTATGATATCCACAACATAAAACGATAATTTATGCCATATGAGGATATCAATATTATATAGATACATACAGAAGGGGCAGGTAAAATAAGATTTTCTTCTCCCTGCTCCTTTCCACCATGCGCTATAAAAAACAACCAGTATAAGTGTACATGTTTTGTAAAGTGTATGTTTTGTTTTAAAATAACTGCCATGTATGAAATAAACAAATAAACCAAAACAAAACAAAGAAAGGAATGTCTCAGGCCTGACTCAGACCTTTTTTATTAAAGTCCCATCTAGGAATATTTTTTATCAAGGTTTTATTATTTAATGTAATCTAATCCCAATAACCTAACAACTGTTATGCACCATAAGAGACTTGAAGAACAAGAAATGCACGAAAGAAATAAGGTAAATAGACAGGAAGTCGGATCAACACCACTATGGCCCTTAGTTGTTAAACTTGGTGTGACTGCCTTTAATTGATCTGCTTTCCAGTAGCACACACTGAGTTGTGTTGGAGTGTAATTTCTCTTTTCTTGTGTATGTATAGAGGGACTTTAGCCCATTATAGTGCTAGAGGAGAGATTGGTTTTCTTTAGCATTCATTTTCTTCAGAACGTTATTTTCCAAGGCACAATGTAATGTAAATTGTTTTAAAGCATGCATTTATCCTGTTAAGCCCCAAGCCTGTTTTTAAGGTCTCAGGCTCGAAAATGACATTCCCAGAACAAATGACCATAACTTCACTTCTAAAAGGGGTACATTATTAATCTTTTTTCTCAAAGCAATGATAAACCTGTGAGTTGGATGTAGAACAGTCAGAATCAATATAGCATTTTTTTTATTTTAAAGTAAATTCAGATTGAACATAGTAAAAAAAAATGTAATTATAGTGTCCGTCCAAAAGAAAAACATTACTGAAAACCACCCTTGAATGATGGGATCGGAGACTAAAAGCTTTAGGAATCCAAACTATAACATATAAGTACCCTGTATCAAGATTGATGCAAAACAAGTGACATTTGACCTTTGACCTTTTTAGAGAGGTTTAGCAACAACAACAAAACACCTCTGGGGTCATTGGGGTGGATTTGCCGTTTCTCTGGAGCCCATTGGTCGATTTTGATGATTGACACCTCTTTTCAACCGTTAGAGCCAATAGAATCGAGGGGGAGATCCTAAATCCACAAACATTGAGGAGTGAGAGTGATGCGCACGCAGTTTGCCCAAACCGAAAGCTTTGTTACGCTCTGAAAACTAGGTTTATTGATGATGGATTATCAGTAATCATTTCAAAATGACACAGACACATTGGATTAACCTTCATCAGCGTTTTTATCGTTTTAATGCCATTGAACACAACTTTTGATCAGAACAAAAGCAAAGGTAAGAGTATTTGCCGTTTGGCTCAGTAAAGCTACGTTGTGTGATGTCTGGGTTTGCGTCCCCTGCCGCGAGTTTTGATCGCACAGTGATGATGCTAATACTTTTAGAATCTGTGGATTTCTACCGTGAGTTCTGTGCTAAGTGCATTAGCATTTTTTCGCTCAGGGCTAATTCAGAGTTTCGGCGTTAGACTTGTGTTTCGTTTAGCTACAAATGGTTCATATCGTCAGTTAGCTGAGTTTCTTCCCGTTAAGTGGATATGACACATTCATTACATTACATTACATTGCATTTAGCTGACGCTTTTGTCCAAAGCGACTTACAATAAGTACATTCGACCAGGAAGACACAACCTTGAAGAAAACAGAATCATATAAGTACATCAGGTTTCATAGAGCCAAACATTTAAAGTGCTACTCAACTGGCTTTAGGTAAGCCAGTCCTTTATTAGTATAAAAGTGCTTCGTTAATAGTTTTATCGCTCGAAGTGGAGTCGAAAGAGATGAGTTTTCAGTTTGCGCCGGAAGATGTGCAAGCTATCTGCCGTCCTGATGTCAATGGGGAGCTCATTCCACCATCTTGGAGCCAGGACAAGCAAACCCACGTGTTTTCGCCGATGTGAACTTGGGTCCCCCTCGCAGCCAGGGTGCAGCGAGTCGTTTGGCTGATGCCTATGCAGAGCGTAGTGCACGCGCTGGGGTGTACGGTTTAACCATGTCCTGGATGTAGGAAGGGCCAGATCCATTCGCAGCATGGTAAGCAAGTACCAGTGTCTTGAAAGTGGATTCTAGCAGTTACCGGAAGCCAGTGAAGGGAGCAGAGGAGCGGAGTGGTGTGGGAAAATTTAGGAAGGTTGAAGACCAGACGAGCCGCTGCATTCTGGATGAGCTGCAGAGGTCGGATGGCACATGCAGGTAGACCAGCCAGGAGGGAGTTGCAGTAGTCTAGGCGTGAGATGACGAGAGCCTGGACCAGAACCCGTTCGCTTTCTGTGTCATTCATAGTTTGTTAAATGTTAAGAAGCCCCGCTGTTTCTTGCAAGATGTTGCGTTTTGCCCCAGCCGGCAGGGGCATGGGGCTTAACAGGTTATTCTAAGGGTTTTGTCTTATTTGGTTTTTAATTACTACTCTGTACGTTTTAGTTCTAGTATTTTCTCAGACTGTATAGTTCCTTTTTGTTTACCCTAAAAAAAAGGCCTTCTTAGAATGTGTGATTCTTAACCGTGTCTGCTGCTTCATACTTGCAGATTGGGAATAATGATTACTAACGAAATGAAGAAGATGGGGTTCACTGCGTGTGTAAAAGAGGAAGCCTTTATAGAACAACAAGGTTAAATACACAGACACCTTTATAAATAGAAAATGTATAAATAGAAAATTAAAATATTGACTCCTCCCTGCATTAGAGTTATAATGTTTACAGATAGGTGATGATTTAACTGTATGGTTTATTCGGATGATTTTGTTAGTTTTATTATCATCTGTATGTACCTGTTTCTTCTTTGTCTGTGCTATTGTAGCATAACTCTCATTAGGTGTGAGCACATAAGCTATGAAGCAGTTTTGTTAGTTTGGTATGTTAAACTTACATAGCTCAGTTTTTCAGATAACAGTTTAGTTATGCAGGACTCAGGAGTCCCCAATGATGGACACACTGTGTGTGTGTGTGTGTGTGTGTGTGTGTGTGTGTGTGTGTGTGTGTGTGTGTGTGTGTGTGTGTGTGTGTGGTGTGTGTGTGTGTGTGTGTGGTGTGTGTATTGAGTTGTAGAATTGATCAGATAGAGCAGCAGGGTGGTCCTGCATATAGTTGTCAGTACATCCTGAAGAAAAGCCCATGTGAAATCTGGCATAAATAAGCAGTAAGAGTTTAATCTGCTGTATTCATCGGCTTCCGTTCAGTCTTTAATTCATGGGTAAAATGAGTCAGGCCTAGCTGTTGGTCTACGGGGCCAATTTATGAGCAACACATCTTCCGTCTGTATAATTCACAAACTGACCTCGGCTGTTTGACTCATTGATTTTTGCTAGAGTGGGTCTCCTAAAGCATCCCTCCCCTGCTGTTGGTGGGACTTCGTCCAGGAACCACTGTGTTCCGGCTCTGTGGCTCGGGCACATGCTGTGGTCGTCACAGGGTTATTGGGAAGGTGAGGGAGGCTCTGGCTGGCTGGTCTGCTGGGTGCTCCGGGCTTCTGGATGTGGATGGCTCCCACAGGACCTGCTCCCACTGATCATTACTGTCTATGAATAGCTGCTGCATTGCAGATGGAGGGAGGAGAAGGAAAGGTACACAGGAGGAAATTATGGAATGGGTATAGAAGAGCTAATGGGTTGTGGAGAAATGGGGAATAAGAAGGTGTGTATTTATGTTTTTTGTGCGCATGTGGGGAGAACAATTTCATTTCAAGGATACTCAGGTGCCCCACTGTTTTCAATTTCCTGTTTTCAATAGCTGCTGAAAATAAAAAATCAGCACATCAGAATACAAAAACAGCCAATTGTCGTCAGATTACTAAACAAAGTGTGTGTGTGCAAGTATCAGAGACAAACAGAGAGAGAAATGTTTTCGGTGAATGACTGAAAACAGCCAGACAGGGTGGAAAAGAAGATGATGAAGAGGATGTGTTTCACCGCCTTATTATTGCTGAGCAGCCCCAGGAACCACCATGTTCACTTATTATGCGATGAACACATTCATAGGACATTGCCATTTTAATTCACTGAAGTCTGTATCCTACATTTAAACAAAGACTGAGATATTCCTTATTTCATCACCAACATTATTGACCTAAAACCAAATCGTATCCTAAAATGGAATGGCTAACGGGGATCTACTTCTGAGATGTAACTCCAACTTGACTTTGTAAACAAATTAATGTCCATATCTGAGTAATGCCGGGCTGCAAGTGGGGATTTTTGATTTTGTCGATTCCTCTGATTCAGGCAATACAAAAAAACGCACATTCAGACTCACACAGAAAAGATAAATATCACCCTTGTTATGAGAAACATGTTGCCAATACAGATTGACTGGTGGGTTCCACCGACTCTTGAGTTATTTGATCGATTGTCTGGCCTTTTTGATGATGATGTTGATGATGATGATGATGATAAAAAGTAATTACCATTTCGCTCTGCTGCAAAATTCCTGTGGCATAAACTGGCAGAAATGTGACATTATTTTGCCCTTGTGGCAAATGTTGGAGGTTTGGTTTCTGCATGAAAATGCTTTGGCACTAAGGTTAAAACCATGGTTAAAACTCAGACCTCTCGCTCTCTCTCTCTCTCTCTCTCTCTCGGCTCTCTTCTCCATCTCTCATCTCTCTCTCTCTCCGTCCCTCTCTCTCCTCCCTGTGTCTCTCTCTATCTCTCTCATAAATATATACTCCCTCGGCTTCATTCCACTCACTTCGTCCAGTCGCCGGTTAACGGACGCGCGGTTGCTAGGAGCTTTAACCGGCAGAGCGGCGCGGGCTCTCCCCCCGCCATTCCTCGTGTCGAGCCCTGGAATGTCGAATAGCGGCTCGGGCTCTTCCTCGCGGAAGGAGTTCGATGTGAAACAAATCCTCAGGATCCGATGGAGGTGGTTCGGTCACCCCTCGGTCCCTCCGCCTCAGTCCCCGCCGCTGGGAGACTACTTCGCCGGGAGGAGGGCGGGTGACACCTCCGGAGATGGACCTTCAGTAAGCGGCTCTAGCACCTCCAATTCAGCCAGCGCGAACCCTAGCTCCGGGGGTCACAGCGGGCTGGTGGCCAGCGGCAGCGCCGGGTCTAACCTGTGTCACGGTGCCAACAGAAAGTTTGGTGATCCGCCCGGGAGTCGGGGCGGTCCGGGTGGAGCGGCAGCAGGAGCCACGGGGAGCTCCTGTCCCCGGTCCTTCAGCCAGCCAGAGTGCAGGAGCCCCGCTGCCGCGCTGTCGTGGGTCTCTCCGCCGCCTCATCGTCGCTCCCGTCCGGTTACGAGCATGGAGCCCCCCGGAGAGGCTCCTGTGCTGCCGCTGGTACCCGAGCCACCCGCTCCTGTCAGCGTGGAGGAGGAGGCGGTGGCACTGGCAGCTTCGGGCACCGAGGAGAACAATAACCACCTGGAAACCGACTCCAGCTCCTGCAGGTAGGAGGGGTCTTGGATTGGTTAATCTGTGTTAAATGTCTGTCTCGGGACATTTTAGCTAAAACTAAAGTTGTAGGGCAGAACAAAAGTCAGTGATGTTCACAATATCAAAACCCAACTCCCTAAAGTTAGGGCAAGAACATCTCCACTGGTTGACTAAGCTTTTACAGGAAAGCAAATGGGTGTTTTATAATTTAATTAATCATTCTGCTTTATCTTCAGAAGTTGTAGATAACTGACATTAATTTATCGCTTTACTGCATTCATTATCATCATTGCTGGAAGGTGCACTTTGTGGTTATGTTTCTCCTAAATAGAAACAAGTAAATGGTGGATTAACTGAGAAAGAAGCTGGTCACAGAGTATAATGCAGCAGTCGAGGGCCACAGTACAGACAGACAGAGAGAGAAAAATGATGGCTGAGTATCCTACCTTTGGGACAGCATGTGGTCCACTGATTTCTCCCCTCAACCTCGTAATGAGGCTCCAAGAAAAAGCTCTTAGAAAACACAAACACAAACGCACACTCTTGTAAATATGGGATTTTCAGAGTCAAATTAACAATATGACTCCAGGGGCTCCTCGTGTAGCTAGATACTACACTTGACATTTATATTGTTTTGTCTTCAATGACTGATTCTCTTAAGCTTAAAGCCTTCACAAAATCCTCAGTGCTTTGCATGTTTCTGTGCACACGCTTGATGGTGTGTTATGCATTGGTGTGGCCATCCAGCTGTTGTGTTGTAAAAATGGCATTAAATTATTAGTTGCCATAGAGACAGCAAATCAAGCCAATTAGGGCATCAGAACTCCTGTCGAAGAATTTGTTTTTGTTTATGATGCAGCTGTAAATGTGATAGAGTAAAGGGAAATACAGACTGTGTGTGTGTGTTTACTATACTTGCATTATGATGCATCTGAAAGCCTCTTATTATACACTGTGTTCTCAAGACACACATCAAAACATATAAATGATTCATACAGTAGGACATGCACACACTCTCACACTTTAGAACAGCTTTCTTTGTGAGCAAAACCTGATGTATTGTTTTAAATCGATTAATGTTTGAAGTGCTCACGATTTCACGGCATGTGTATGATTGTGAGACAGAAACAAATAAATGGAAAGAAAAATGTGTTTTTTTTAAATGTCTCTTTTTATGCAAGGCTTGATGCCATGTCTGGCATGTCTGGCAGCGCGGAACATGTGTAACCTCTGCTTAATAGTAATGCACATTTACACCCCAGCCTCATTTACATAAGCAAAGACAAATGATGATGTAAACTTGAATATAATTTGGTTATGTATTGTGCATGTGCATGGAAGTAGCCCTCCTTGCATGGTGGTTGCCATACCAACACAGCTATTTGTAATGTCTATAGCTAACATGGGCAGTTCTGTGCATCACATTTTTGGGTGATTTATGTATGAATTCATCCCCTCCCTCTGAGAGCTCCTGTGTACAGCATGATATTCCAACAACGAGTGGCAGCATCCCAAGTGGGATCATGGAGAGGGACACACACTGAATCCCAGAGTGGCTGAAGGCTCGGCTCGAGTCCACTGATCTCCTCCTCTCCTTTTTTACTTTTCACCACACCCAGCTCCCCCCCTTCCCCTATAATCCCGGTGTCCCTCCCTTACTCACTCTCTCTCCCCCTCTGTCCCGTGTTCATCTCTGCCCACCCTTGTCCATTCATTTTCCCTCTCTTTTTATCCCTTTTTTAATGTGTTGGGAAACAAAAGAGTTGTATGTGTGTCACGGAGTGGGTTACATGTGACCTGTGTGTGTGTGTGTGTGTGTGTGTGTGTGTGTGTGTGTGTGTGTGTGTGTGTGTGTGTGTGTGTGTGTGTGTGTGTGTGTGTGTGTGTGTGTGTGTGTGGTGTGTGATGGTGTTGTGGTGGTGTGTGTGTGTGTGTGTGTGTGTGTGTGTGTGTGTGTGTGTGTATACACACACAGTGTACTTGCCTGGTGCAGGGCTTTAAAAAAAATCGGGCTGCATGGTGTTGCCCCAGACCCTAGACATATTCTCTCTCTCTCTCTCTCTCTCTCTCTCTCTCTCTCTCTCTCTCTCTCTCTCTCTCTGTCAATGTTGAGTGCCTGCCAGGCTCAATTAAGGGGACTGGAAGGCAGCGTTCCCCCACTTCAAAGCCATCTCCTCTGGCAGTATTTAGCCACGTTCGTTTGTTACATACACACGTGCCGTTCGGCCCAGACACTCAAATACACACACACACAAACACACAAACACACACCCTCAATAGGACAGGAAAGCTAGCCAAAAAGCCTCCTTGGAGGGTTAGATTAGGATAGGGGAGAGAAGACCGAGGTAAAGATGGATGATGGGATGAGGTGGAATGAAATGAGTGATGGATGACATTATCTGAAGATATAAAAGTGAGGACGGGAGACGGATAGAGAGGAGCAGAGGACACAGGAAGATCACTCCTGCTATAGCACATCAGCAGCCAGCGCACACACACACATCTAATTGTGTGCATGAATACACACATTGAATGCCACGTACACCAGTGTTTACTAAGAACCTTTCTTATCAGTGAGAACATTTTTGAATTCAGCTCATTTCATTTTTAAGAGCTCAAAATGATTAATATATGTATTTTCAACTGTTTGGACTAAATACTTTGATATCCGGGTTTGTAACAATTTATAGGGCTGACTATTGAGAAATGCTTAATGCTCCACATTGTTTACCTACCAGCTAGTCACTAACTTTGTCTTTTTTACTTTTGGTGCCTGGCATGTGTACAGAAGGTTCATCTGACATTTTCTTGCATTAAAACTCAACTTAAAAGTATTGTTGCCAACTGTGAAATAAAATATAATGATACTAAAATGCTTGACTTATTCTCATTCAATTAGGACTTTACTATTTAAAGATTATGACTTGTTTTCTTTTGAACATTATCTGAAATCTTGCCGAAATGCATTTGAGTTTTAAAAATCTTTGTATATTAGTTAGAATTAATTAATATTTCATTGAGGTTCAAAGGTGCCATTTGGACATTTAATAAGGCTACTTCTGCAAACAAAAAGATACATGAAGGGAAGAGTAAATCATATCTGCATACATGTGTGTTGACTCGAAGGATGAGTCGCCTAACTGCATTATATTTTAATTTGTTTTTAACTGAAACCTCCAACTTGAGTTTTATGTTTAATGTAAAAAAACAGAAAGAGGACACAATAGAGGCACTTTATTTCAGTTTTATAATCCTGTATTTTAATAGATTATGTTGTATTTATGGTGCACACAGCCACATGTTCCACTGCCTTCCCAGAATCAGGTCCTCCTTTCTCTCTGTTTATTTCTGCGAGAATATGCCTGTGTAAAATTGTAATTTAGGACAGTTTGATTTGCAACCACTCACACACATACTTCCACTTCCCTAAAAGCGTGTGAATTTACTTTAACTGCAGAGATGAAATGATACAATCCGTGGAGTATCGGCTCATTTCCTATCTCTTTGTGCTGTAGGGCCAGTCCTGCCACTTCTGCTGCGAAATTAAAAATGGAAATACAGCCCAGGCTCTCATAAATTAAATGCTGGTTTGGGAGCAATGATGTCTTGTAATTCACAGGGTAGCTATACTTCGGTTCTGTACTTTGATGAAGACACATGCACACACCATTTCACACACTCAAACCCTATCAGCTGGCACAGGCAGAATAAGATATAGACAGCTCCGGGCTGCAACACTTCCACCAGTGAATAACGAATGATGAAGCCATCCTGGCCCAAAACACTTCTTCATGTCTTGCTGATTGTAACATTACAAGGGAACTGTTTGTTATTAGGGAGCAATTACTGCACATCTATGGGCTCTGCTCCCAAAGCAATTTAATTGGCAGCTTTTCTTTTAAGTGAGCTAAATGTATCTGTCCATTAACTCCTGGTAATTAGACCATTATAGAGTTTTTTCGTCTGCTTCTGGCGACAAACTGTTACCCTGTTGAGAATAGAGGAAGAGAGCAAATATGTAGGAGGATGTGGCACAAGGAAAACAATGGCACATGGATGACCCCTAGCAGCTGGTGTAGCTCAATCAATCTCTTTGTCATGAATACATTAAAAAGTAGCACCAGGAACACATGCACTCAAAGCTTATGTCTCTTTCTGTTTGTCCGTGTGTTTGTGTAAATGTCCGTCTTTGACAGGACGTCCAACAGCAGCGCCACACTGTCCTCATGCGTGTCGATGGAGCCATGTGCATGTCCAGAGGATTGTATGTTCACTGCTCTGTCCCACGCCGATGTCACCTTCCGCAAAATGGAGGGCTACCTGAGGTCCCGGCAGCTGTGTGATGTCACACTGGTGGCTGGGGAAAGACGGATACCTGCACACAGGTAAGCTAATAAAAATGAAGATGTTACACAAACATGCATATAAAAGACGTCACCTTACTACTTCTTTGATGGCACCCGGAGGATTGGTGACATCCACCTGGATCCATTTTCATCTGCTTCTTATATATAGACACAGTCTTTTCTAGCATTTGGACTACTTATGTTGTAAATGTATTATGTTTTTAATTTACACACACAATGTATTGTACGTCTGTCCGTCCTGCAAGAGGGAGTTTTCTTCAGTTTTTTCCCCATTAACTGTGGAGTTTCGATGGGAGTTTTTCATTGTCTGATGGAGGGTCCAACGACAGATTCTGTATAAACTATAATACCCCCCTGAGACAAATGTTAAAAATGTGTGGGCTGCAACTAATGGTTATTTCATTGTCGATTAGAAATGTTTTGGTTTAATAGATCCTTTGTAGATATAAAAAAGATATTCAACTAAAAATTATTTAAAAAAAACTTCAACAGTGTAAAAAATAAGAGATAATACCTCCTGTAATATTTGCAGAATGAACTAGGGATGCTCCGATCGATCGGTCACCGATCGAGATCGGCCGATACTCACTCTCCACCGATCGATCGGTGCTCCCTAAACATGCCGATCGCGAGAGCCGATCGCATGACGTAAAATACATGACACTTTTCTTTGTGCGCGGCAAAACATGCTCGCCAAAATGGCTTCACCGGTCTGGCATTATTTTAAGGTGTCCGAAAAAGACAGTAAAATAACGGAATGCTGTGTGAAGCAGAAATCCTGCAGCTCCGCCCGCCGGACCGGTGAGCAGAGCGAAACACACAAAAGCTGAGGGTTAGGCTAGGTTTCTTTTACAGAAATAAGTCCTGTTTCTCGCTTGAGGCCAGGAAAAGGCTAGTCACTGTGACCTTTTTACCTGTGCTGGATTATGGTGATTTGTTATATATGAATGCACCTGCCAATTACCTGAGCAAGTTAGATGCTGCGTATCACAGTGCACTGAGATTTTTGACAAATTGTAAAGCACTTACGCATCACTGTACCCTGTATGCCAAGGCGGTTATGCCATCACTTACTGTACGGAGGCTCAGTCACTGGTACTTTTTCATTTACAAAGCCATGTTGGATAAACTACCATCTTATATCTGCTCCCTGATCTCTCTGCGAATTGAAAGTACTTATTGCCTGAGATCGCATGATGTGGTTTTATTAAATGTGCCAAGTGCTAGGACTGTCTTAGGGAAGAAAGCTTTTAGATGTGCAGCTCCACTAACATGGAACAGTCTGCAAAAAGAATGGAAAATTACCAAGCTAGTACCACTACATGTTTTTAAAGCTCGGTTGGATGCTACAAAATCAGATGCTGTTGGTACCTGTACTTGTGGTTAAATATGTAAATTGTAATCCCTGTACCTTTTGCTGTATGATGTCCTTTTGTTGTTCTGTTGTTTATGTCTTCTTGTGGAACCTACTGCTGCAGGTCTCCCTTGAAAAAGAGATCATTGATCTCAATGGAATTTTACCTGGATAAATAAAGGTTTTGAATTGAAGAGTTAAACCTAACAAACACACTTAGCAATTTTATCTACCTCTGGAACAAGCTAAACCAGTGGCGTAGCCACCATAGGGCCAGGGTGGGCCCAGGCCCACCCAGTTTACTCATTGGCCCACCCTGATAAAGCATTTAAAAATATAAATAAAACATTTATTTGAAATTATTTTTTTATTATTATTATAAAAAAATGTATTCACCCATTGCGAATATCCAAGAATTCAAAGTGAAATTCAAGTGAACAAATATCGAGTTTAATTAATGTTGTATGTGCTTTATCCTCTGAACCGAACTCATTTACGGTAAAAACTGATTGTTGGTTCCGGCGCGCGCCATAATAACGTGAGAGAGGCAGAGAGCTGCCTGTAAAATAAATGATGGCTCAAAGTTCACTAATGAACTTTGGTTTTTAAAAAAACCGCAAGACTCCAAGAAGAGCCCCCACTGCCCTCATCTAGCAGCGATCTATCTATACGATCATTTTCTGATAACGATGAAATAGCCCCGCCTCCCTCTCCCCACGTCTCCCTCTCCCCACCTCTCCTGCTGCTGGGCTTGTCAGAAGAAAAACATTTTTAACAGAAACTCTGCCGCACGGTTCCCTCGTCCCTTGGAAGAGGCAGAGAGGTGGGTGTTTTTCATCTGCTGGTGAACAGTCCGGAGAGATATAGCTACACAGGGTTGGGTTGTAACGGAATACATGTAACGGCGTTACGTAATCAGAATACAAAAATCAAGTGTATTCAGCTGGCGTTACATTTGAAAAACGAGTAATCTGATTACAGTTACTTTCGTAAACCTGAAGTGAATACATTTTGGAATACTTATTGAAATTATTGGTGGAAAAGTTTCCTCACAAAATGTAATATTCATTACCGGCAGAACTGTGTGCACACTGCACAGCGCTGCAGCATGTCTGTGAGCGAGAGAGATGCAGCGTGTGTGTGAGGGCCCGCCCCCGCACGCAGATGAGAGAGAGATCTCTTTTAAAATATATTGAAAGTTAGAAACGGAGATGGTTAGATAACATGTGCAAGATAACGTTTATGTAGCATTTCTTTGTCGAAATGATGACATTTATAACTTGATCAAATCAAAGTGAATGGCCTGCTGCTGCTGAATGCATGGGGCAAGTGACTGGAAAAAGTTTTAAAAGTTATTACATCGTTTCAGAATAATAATAATAAATAATAATGATAATTCATTCTATTTAGGGGTGCCTTTCAAAGCACCCAAGGACACCTTACAATTCATAACATAGTCTAAGGAAAGGTTTTAAGACAGTACAAAGAATGCAGTCCGGGTGATGTTTGTTATGTGGGGTGCAGATGAGAGAGCTGTCCAGAATGACACCAAGATGTGGTGTTTGTGCTCTTGATAAGCCATTAAAACATTAAAATACGTGTCTCCTGTTCACCAAAACATACCCATCTGTTATGGAAAAAGAAAGTATTCTAAAAGTAATCTGCCACCGGTACCAGCGGGGATTGTTGTTAGCTTCTGATGCGCAGAAGAAAAATCTGGCCCACCCTATTTTTTACAGGCCCACCCTAAAGTACATTTCTGCCTACGCTACTGAGCTAAACTAGTTATAAATATATTTATTCTTCGGGTCACTCATTACTGGATCAGTGAGCTGCGTGAGATACTGACAGGCTGTCAGGAGAGAGAGAGAGGGGGAGAGAGGGGGGAGGGAGAGAGGAACAGAGAGCGCTTCCGCTCATTTCTCCGTGTTATTATCCAAAGTGAATGTAAACTTGAATAATGTACATCATTTGAATGTAATAATTAAGTTGATTGTTGTTTGTGGAAGCTCCAGTGAATGAGCCCCATTAACTGAGTTTAAACATCACTTTAAATGGAAGATTTAAAGTGATGTTTAAATCTTCCATTTAGGCCCCGCCCACTCGATCGGATCGGCGATCGGTATCGGCCGATACTGATTCCAGCAATCGGCCCCAAAATTGGCGATCGGAGCATCCCTAGAATGAACGATTAAATGAAAGCTCTAATCATCATCATCATACGTTTATGTAAGCCACTTTTGGGCCCAAAACTTGCTGGAGACTTTGTAAAGCATACATAATCTATTTAGATAATACAATTGTCACTTTCAATTGCAATGCCATAAACGTGTTGGTTTTAGCTTCCTGATTATAATTCGATGAATAGAGAAACAAAAATTGAATGAAAATAATTGATAGTTGCTGCCCTAAAACTAACATTTACATTTAGCTTTTTGCTATGTACACACATGCAGAAGCACTGCAATTGATCTTCATCAGCACTTATGAACATGTGCCTGTACACACACATACACACACACACACACACACACACACACACACACACACACACACACACACACACACACACACACATGATGACACATGCTGCACACACAGGATACAGTTTGAAAATAAGCCACACACACACAGTAGCAACACAGTCATGCTCATCTCATAAAAGTACCTTTTATTTTCATAGTATCTCTGTACCACATAGTCAACTGAGCCCATGAATCATGCATCAAACACAAACACACACACATACACACATGCTTGTCACCACTATGCTGTTGCTCTCTGGGCATGTGGCCACAGGAGCAGCAGCAGGGTCCATCTGCACAGAGATGAGACAGAAGAGCGGTCCTCCACCAGCAGAAAGACTTCTTTGCTCTCATTGCCTTCCTCCTCTGCCTCGTTTGATTTAGTCCTCCAGGCACAGATGGTGACAAATAAAAGACCCAGCAGTACTGGAATGCTAATGGTGTATGTGAAAGAGTGTGTTTGCATCTGAAGTTGTGTTTGTGTATGAGAATAGGGGTGGGAGTAAGATGTTTTAAAGTGGGTGTTTTGTTTGAAATTGATTTATTGTATGTGTAGGATAAAACGCTTATATGGGAACAAAAAAAAAAAAGACACCCTCTATCTCTCCCTCTTCCTCTGTCTTACATGTACACACAAACAAAAGCACCTACATGCTGAATAGGCCACTTGTGCTATGTACAGCTGCAGATCTCTCTTGGAGTTTGTTTGTTTGTGCACTTTGAGTAAGACTTGTGCTTTATGTTCTTTGAAATGTAGAGCTAAATTATACTGTTTGTCTCTAGGGCAGTGCCCTATACTAACACACTATCTTGCAAAGCTATTTTTGTACCCTCAAGTGGACACCTCTGTTGTGCTACCTCAACTGATTTCAGTTAAAAAGTTCAGAAACGTGTGTACTGTTGTTGTAGATCAATAGCTACGCATTTGGGGCCCACTTTGTGCATACTGTGGTTCAGCTTTACTTTATTTGTCATATGTAGGTAAATGCAGAGTTGGCAGTCAAATTAAATATATTTGACAAGAGAACAGGAGTCACTAATAAGCGAACAAGTAAATGAGTGACTGAATGAATAAATGGATAAATAAAACTTGTTAACCTTTTTATTTATATAAAATATAAATGTTTTGTCAGTTTTTAACACAAAAATAATAATATGTAAAAAAAACATTAGCGATAACATTTAGATGTTTGGCCGACATAATGTTAACCATGTTCACCAACTAAATTGAGCATTTTAGCAAGGGTCTTAAACCTCTACAGCAGGGGTGGGGAACCTCCGGCCTCCGGGCTGTATACGGCCCGCGAGACAATTTGGTACGGCCCTCGAGATAATTTATAAACACACGCAAAAAAGTAAGAAATCTAGACCGCAAAAAAATTAAACAAGTGAGTGCCTGTTTTTCCTGGCCAAGGTCATGTTGTTGCTGAACACAACACGAGCCTAACGTGTCATCACGTGGTATATGTCTCGACTGACAGGGGTGCAGTTCTGACGGAGAGCACCAGAACGCCACTCCAGCACTTCAGAAATTGCAGTACCCATAAGGAGCCGTACACATGCCGCAGCTTCTGCGTGGCTGTGTCTTTAGTTGAAAGCCCAGTGGCGATCTGTTCATCTTTCACACTGATCATACAGTCAATAACTTTGTTGTTATTAGCATCTGGTTAGCTAGCTATGCTAACGAATATAAGAAGCTTTTTCTCCAACCAGTGAGGTAAAGGCACATCTTTATATGATCATTATAGTTAGAAAAAAATAAGAGAATAAAGTAAACTGGTATAAAATACTATATGACAGTAAAAAAAAGTTGTTATTAATAAAGAAGAATACAGTTTAAAAGGAGAGTGATTTGTCAAATATTCATAAAGAAAAATAAATCTGCTTCCAGTTCTGTTTCATATCGGTGCTGAGAGATGTATCCATAGATCTCCTAATTGTGATCTCAAAGTGCACCAGATTGATGCTTTTAACTTCAACATTTAAAAAAAAATCTTCCCGTTGGAGCATGCCCCCCGGACCCCCCTAGAGGAGGTTAGGTCCCCCCCACTTAAATCATGTTCACATGGATAGGAAACTAAATACATTTGCACACATCTTGTGTCCATATCTTTCTGTTTTGGTGGTCACGCCACACCGTGCACGTGCATGCATACACGAGTCATGGTGAGATATCTGGATTAAGAGGTTGCTTTTTCTTTGCACAGAATGAAGTGAATGGGCTGTGATTTTAGTTTTTTTAAGCAGAGGTCAATAATTTGTACGGCCCTCTGAGGATATTGTAAAAATTGAAATGGCCCTTGAAAGGAAAAAGGTTCCCCACCCCTGCTCTACAGCATACAACACCCTGTATCCCTAGACTAAGAGTTGGACAAGGAAAACCTCCTTCATAAAATCTTTAACGTTGAAAAATGATAGAAACCTCAACATAGTGTTGGACGAACTAAAACTCTGGTCCAATTGATTACAATTCATTCTGAGGGGTGCATGGTGATCCAGCCGATAATCTTTTAGACATTTCACTTGGATATGGGATGACTTTAACCTGCTGGTGGCATAAGGACAAAAGTTCTTTAGGAAACATCCTCTGGGGAACAAAAATATCTGTGCCTAATGTCAATGAAACATTTCAATCTGGACAGAAGTGGTGACAGACTGACAACCATGCTGCCATCTCCAGATCAATTCCATTTGTGTGCCTAAAAAGTGTATAAAATGATAATAGTTGAGTAAATCTCTCCTACCAGTCCTCCTATTGTTCCCCTCTCTGTTTTTCCAACCAGTCTGCACCAAGCAGCACATCCACACTCAAACACAAACAGACACAGATCAGTTTCCAGCATCCTTCCTTTCCTGAGTCCAACTCGTCTGTTTCCTGCTCTCTTCCCTCTGGCGTTTTGTCTTCTCTGTGCCTTTCCATTACTGAGTGACACACTGCCTGTCATGTCTCTATCCTCTGCAAGGTGCATTTGCGTTTAAATAACCCGGTACTGTATATAGCCTGTGTCGCACACTGCAAGTCAGACTTAGACCCACATGAAATATTAAGGAGTCAAAATACTGTGTGTGTGTGTGTGTTTGTTTGTTTGTAGCCTTTATTTAACCAGGTGAAGCCCCTTGAGATCAAAAGATCTCTTTTTCAAGGGTGACCTGCAGGACATTAGTTACACATGTAACATAAAAACAACAGAACAACAATAAGGATGACATACAACGTGTGTGTGTGTGTGTGTGTGTGTGTGTGTGTGTGTGTGTGTGTGTGTGTGTGTGTGTGTGTGTGTGTGTGTGTGTGTGTGTGTGTGTGTGTGTGTGTGTGTGTGTGTGTGTGTGTGTGTGTGTGTGTGTGTGTCAGAGAAAGAGAGAGAAACAGATACCTGACTGGAATACTGGCAGAGCAGATTTCTCCTGACGATAGTGTTACTGTTTTTTTTACATTATTCCTGTAAACAAACACACGCCACTCTTTTCTGCTTCAGGCTATCTGTCAGGGTCCCAGTGTCACACTCAGTAATGAGGTTATACACATTTCCATAAAACATACACACGTTAAATGTGAACACATGGTTACATATCTGTCAATCGCAACTTGAATGTGAGCTTTCTAATTTATCACCCATACTTAGATTAGGACATTAATAATACTTTACCCTGCAGTGATCTGGAGGTTTACTTTATGTGTCACTGCCATTTAGCATGTATTACACAGTCAACACCACATGCACAAGGACACTGTGATTGACACATGCAAATTGATAATCTCCTCTGTGGCTGCAGGGATTGGCATGTCTTTTATATGCCATATACAGGGACTTGATCTGACTAGGGTAGTGTCTTATTTTAGCCTATATTGATTTGTTAAAGGACATTTTGAATTCTGTTTTAAAACGAGTGTAGAGTTTTAACATGACATTAGGGGAAGAAACAGGCTCTTCTGTTACTGTGTATCGTTGTCAAACATTTGTTTAGTTTTAGAGATGGTCTAATGTGGCACCATTTTCAAAGATACATAATCCTAAACAGATTAAGTTTGGCCACTGTCCCATATGTCACAAGTTATGAACATGTGTATTAGATACCAAAAAAAAACTGCTGTTGGGGGAACACATCAAGCGTTTAAACATCTGAGCTCTTTATCCTCAATATGCTCACTGTGTACAAACATCTGGAGATGCCCGAGGCCGGTGCCAGGCTGCTGTTAGCACAGTTTTCTTCTTCTACCTCAAATCACATTTCCTCCGAGAGAGGAGATTACAATGATAGTGCCAATTGGAGGGAATTCATTTCTTTAGAAGAATCAAGTGATTTATTGTTAAATGCAGATTGATTTTTAATCCTGTGTGGAGCACCAATGTAAATATTGTATCCCATCTATTGCAGCAACAATAACAGTTAATGTACTTACTGTTAGTTCAATTACCTGTTTTTTTTTCAATTACTTTTTTGGAGAGATAGAAAGAAGTAATGATAAAAGGCATCATTAAACTAAACTTAAAGGTGGGGTATGTAATTTATTTCAGAAACACTTTTTGTTATATTCCATGGAATGCTCTTAACATCCCGATAGCAATGAATATATTAAATGCTTTGACAATAAATACATAAAACAATTTCATCTGTGGAAGCCTGTAAAAAGCACGACCAATCATTTTAGCCGGCCCGGCTAAAGTAACTGGATGGCCTACCTGCCTGTCAGCCTTCCATCTGTGCACAAACTTATCTCGTGCCCTCATTGGTCATGAGCGCGTTCGTGTGTGTTGTATTTTCAAATTCTAGCGCACTCGAGCTGGTTTCTCCAAAATGACCTACCCCACCTTTAACTAACAAACAAACATTTAACTTCTTTTAACATCCTTTATGTTTTTTACTTTATAATTCAGACCTATGCAGTTAAAAAAAAATAGCAGTCAAATAATGAAACAGAAAACATCTTTGATCACCTCCTAAACAGCTAGCTAGATCTCTGTTTAATCATCTGGAAAGAACTGAATTTGAATGATGCTGATGCCTTTAATGTGACTTCCATGTGTTAACTAAACTACTACTGTGATATGTTGACAGAACGATAATCCGATGCGTTGTCAAGCTGTGTTGTTTCCATACCTCTCTGTTCTGAGTCTTCCCCTGTCAGTCCACCCTCTTCCTGTCAGTGAGGTCAGAGTCGTCTGTTCCTCCATCACAGCTGTCCGTCTCTCTGACTGATGCCTGACTCTCTCCACTCACAGGCTGGTCCTCTCATCCGTGTCCGACTACTTTGCCGTCATGTTCACCAGTGATGTGAGGGAGGCCAAGCAGGACGAGGTGAAGATGGAAGGAGTGGACCCTGATGCATTGTGGGCCTTGGTGCAGTATGCATACACAGGTATACAGGCTTACTGATCGCCTTTTTTTGTAGTACTTGAGTAGTACTTTCAGGCAAACAGCACATACCATTAAGATTAAGGATATTATTTTGGAATCTTTTTAGAAAATTAAATAATACATTTTTGATCTATTTTCAAAATAAGCATCTGGAGTGCCTCTGACAGGGTTGAAACTGGAGACCAACCAACATATTGTTCACATCAGCCTTACAACAACTTTGATTTGGTCAAAGTAACTGAGTACTACAGACATCGAATGGAGCTCCATGTATTGTACTGTAGCATCCCATGTGCCATGAATTTGTTAGCCACAACTTGGGTCAGGATAATCCCATCGGTAACAGACTATACAAAACCACTCTAGCTAATGTTCTCTCCAACATAAGATGTGACATGGGGGAGAACCCTGAATAGTTTGTATCAACTGAAAGTAACACACTTATACAGAATACAGGGGGCAGTAAAACACATTTCTCATTTTAGAAAGGAATAATTGGCCATTAATTGAACACTAATGGCCATTTCAAGTAAAAATAAAATCTTATAGACTATCCATGGTCATCTTTGGCCACCATCATGTTTTCAATGATAAATAAATGGACTTTGGTCCTAGTGCTATGTAAAATTAAGGACTTTAATATCCAGTTGCTTGAGTTGATGGCAGTCTGACTCTTGATCTCAAAACCTTTTAAATAACAAATATTAGACACTTGGATATAAATACGCAGTCTTTTTGTTGTCCGTAACTGTCTTACATGTCCTCGCTCTGTTTTCAGGCCGTCTGGAGTTGAGGGAGGACACCATTGAGTCCCTGCTGTCAGCCTCCTGCCTGCTGCAGCTGTCCTCTGTGGTTCAGGCCTGCTGTTCGTTCCTCATGAAGCAGCTCCATCCCTCCAACTGTCTGGGTATCCGCTCCTACGCCGACGCTCAGGGCTGCAACGACCTTCAGAGGGCCGCTCACTCCTACACCATGGTGGGTTTACGGCCAGGCTACATCCCCGGCGATTGTAGAGCCACCTTAAGAAAATGAATAAAAAGCGTGTTTTGGAAAATGTGGTTCTGTCCATAATGATAGTTTTCCTCCATCAGACTTTGGTCATTTTCCAGTCTTTGTGAGACATTGAAAATGGGTTTCTCATTCACAATGCACCACATACCATTATCGCCACAATGGCCATTTTTTTAGCACAGGGTTGCTATGGTGACTGTGAAATAGCTCCTCCATTTACTTAATTATTATTTTTCTATCCCTGCCTGCCTCTGCGTGTCTGCATCTGTCAGTGATACTCTCTTTCTTAAAAAAGTAATTATTTAGAGAGGTGACTTTATCTAGGTGTCTACCTTCATCTATAATTCACTCTCACACACACACACTCATTAATACACAGCTCACGGGATTGTTACTGCCATTATGAAAGAGCTATACAGAGAAGGCTAGACCGTTTTTCTTCCCCCTTTTTTGATTCTCGTAGGTTCTGATTCCCTCAAAATTATTTAATAGATGTATTAAAAAAACACAAATGAGAATAGGAAACTATATGGTACAATAACAACTACTGTCGTCACCGTCCTTATGTGAGGCTGACAAAAAAACTTAGCATAATGTTGGTAAACACTGGGGATATATTTGTACTCCCGGTAATCGTGTCTTCCTCATCTTAATTTGCTCGTTGATAAAGAACAACGATCAGTCATATTTTCAGATTGTCAGAAAATGTAACTTCATTTTATTTATTTTTTTCAATTAATAATTTAAGACATCTTCTGGTTTCAGCTTCTTCATTGTGATGATTATCTTCTGTGTTTATCGAGTTACTTTATCTATGTTTTTAACCATTTTAAACCAAACAATAAATTGGTTAAATTAGGAAATTAGGAGTCCATAATTAAAATGACTTTTAATTGCAGCTCTACTCTCAATTTCTAAAGAATCATGACATCCTTTGCTCAACCAAGCCCTTTTTTCCGCAGCTTTCCACCCTTCTTCCTCTGACCTTTCTCAAGCCCTCATTTCCTTCCTATTTGCCTCTCTCTCTTCTCGCCCTTTGATCCCTTCTCCACTCATATCTTCCTTTTTTTTCTCCATCTCTCATCTCCTTTTTTCATCTGCAATTCATTATTAATTCATCCTTCCTATTTCAAAACGAATCTGACTCTTTACTTCTCTTCTCTCTACACCTTTTCATCTCTCTGTTCACCAGGAAAACTTTTTAGAGGTGGTAGGAGGCCAGGAGTTCCTGTTGCTCCCATTGGACGAGATGGAGAGGCTGCTCACCTCTGAGGACGTAAATGTGCCAGACGAGGAAACCGTGGTAACCTCTTTGCTAACATGGGTTAGTCACGACACCACCACACGAGAGCGCCACCTTCCTTCTCTGTTGGCACACATCCGACTGCCGCTGTTGCAGCCACAGGTGAGAGCTTTGTTGAATATTCTGATGTTGTAATTGACCCACTTTAAGCAGATATAACCAATAATTAATTATATAATAACAATGTGACAAACGACAGCGCAAATCGATGTGAAAGGGGTCGCCATTACTGCTACACCTCCATCAAATGTAATATCTTTATATATAATCTGTAACTGCTGGCTGTTTTGATAAGTTTGCCATATCAGCTTGAAGGTGGATGAAGATGTGTCATTTGTAAATGTCAACTAGTTCCCCTTGTCACCAAGAAGCAAACTGATTATTGCAGGTTTAATAACCACGCGACATGATATGCTGTTGAACTTAAAACCAAGTCAACAATAACTACAAATGATAGCAGAAACACTGAGATGTTCTGCATTTTTTGAGAAAAAGACTGCAATATTTATGTCCTGTCATGGCCAATAAGCCATCTGTTCCAAAGGTTAGTATCAGCACCAATTGGTGTATCGCTTAGTGAGACTATAATAATAGTAATGTTGTAGTCTTCCCCAATCTGCTGCTCTTTTCCCATAGCTCTCTGCTTCCCACTTGTATTCTATACTCCTGACTCCATTTTGTCTCAATCCTCATTTGGCAATTAGAGGGACTATAATCATTATGCTAACTGTAGATCACAACCATAACTCTGTCACATGTGCCGGTGATTGTTTTGTTTGTGTATTTAAGTGTGTGCATGCATTCTTTCATCTCTCCTTTCTCCTCTGGTAATGTGGAGAGGGGAGGCAGAACCGCAGTTACTGCCCTCACACATACACAAAAACACACACATCCACCCACACGCATGTGTTTTGGACCTTAATTAAGTGTGATGCCTCTCTTAACTGCAGCTAAATTATTTGTTCTCATTCATGACTAATTTCTCCTACTAAAGAAACCATAGAGATAAAACTCCCCCTGCGCCCTCCTCCCCTTCCCTCCTCTGTGTGTGCGGCCATACATCTTCCAGGTTTGCACTTGTTGGGTATACAGTATGAACATCTCAGATATACGACTTTGCCCTAGTCAGCTGAAATCACAAGCAGCTGTAACATGTAATCAGGCGAGAAGACGGATGGCGCTGGTGGAGAGGTAGAGCAGTAGCACCAGAGCAGAGAGAGCAAAAGCAAGACAGACAAAGAGCTGAGGGAGGATTCAGCCTTTAACAGTATATCCCCCACCAGCACTACCATGCTAAATTGATAAATGAATTAACATTCAGCAACCTAATGATCAGCAACAAACAAATATAGCGACCTATAAACCTCACACAGACAGTTGATCGATATTCATCAACCAATTAGTCAGCTCTCTATCTCGGCCGCTGTGTGATTTCTCATTAAGAGGATGTCAATGTGCCAAATAAATACCCTTTAATCCCTTCTCTCCTTTACCACTGCAACACACTGATAAACACACACTGTCTAATCTTCTCAGAGGAGCATCTGTCAGCCATAAATCGGACAGTGTGCACCGAACATATTGACAGGGCAGTAAGTGTTTGTGGGTGTCTTCATCAAGGAGACTACTACAACCTCTTTCTCTGTGAATCAGTTGCTCTTAAAAATCGAAGAAAATGGTTGTAGTAACCATTTGAGAAACAGCCCAAACACCAAAAGGGTTTAGGAAAATACATATGTTGAAGTCTTTTTTGACTATTTGACCGCAGCCTGAGTATTGTAAGGGAAATAAGAGAGTAGTAAAGCATAACAAGAATATGCACACCCTTAGTGTGTGTGTGTGTTTGTCAAGTGGTCAAAGCCCATGCTGCAACGCAGAGGAATACTTTATCGCTTCACACTAGGAGGTAAAGAGAGGAGAAGGTGGCATGCCTGCAGGATTCTGTCTTATCTCGCCCTCCACATTCAGGCCTTCACAGCGTGATGGAGAAATAGCACAGGAGAGGACAAACACGTTTTTCTATCTCTGTCCTTCTTACACACACACACACACACACACACACACACACACACACACACACACACACACACACACACACACACACACACACACACACACACACACACACACACACACACACACGCACACAAATGAGTGTCGAAATAGGGTTCACCCTAATTTGTGCCTCAGTGATTGTGTGCAATGGAAGCGAGGGTTCACCCTGCCGTGTAAGCTGCTTAACCATTTACCATGCTTGCTTTACTCTCTCCACGTCTCGCTGAGAAAATTTATTTTATATTCAGTGACCAAATTTAATTATTTGCACTATTTTTTTTTTTGCAGTGGTAAAAGCACAGAAAAAAAGTGTGTGTAAAATAACCTTCCAGAGGATATAGTGCAGGTTCCTTCAGCTAAATCTTAAAAACAGATTAATTATATTCTGGTCAACAAACGTTATTCTGATTACATGTGATTATTGGTGAAGTTGTACTTTCAAACAAGTTCTGTATTTTGTAATATTATCGTTATGTTATTTTGTTTGTTTGTTAGTACATTTTTTATTATAAATTTCAACAAAATATCAAAGGTCTGTTATTATACTTCTCTCGTATTGAATCTCAGTTGCCATGTCTGAACATAGCCACTGACACTTCTGTTCAGCCAACACATTCGGGTATACACACTTCTAATGATGTTTAATAATAAATCCGGCTCATCTTGAACGTGTAGTTCGGGTGAACTGGGAACGTCTGGAGGAGGCCCAAGTTCAGGAGGCCTTCAACTCACACCTCCGGCGGAGCTTTTCGGGCATTCCTGTGGAGGTTGGGGACATTGAACCAGAGTGGTCGGTGTTCAAAGCCTCTATTGCCGAAGCCGCGGCGGGGAGCTGTGGTCTCAAGGTCCTAGGTGCCTCAAGGGGCGGTAACCCTCGAACCTCCTGGTGGACACCGGTGGTCAGGGAAGCCGTCCGACTGAAGAAGGAGGCCTTCAGGGATTTGTTATCCCGGGGGACTCCCGAGGCAGTTGCAAGGTACCGACAGGCCCGAAGGGCAGCAGCCTCATCCGTGGCCGAGGCAAAGCAGCGGGTGTGGGAGAAGTTCGGAGAAGACATGGAGAAAGACTTTCGGGCGGCACCAAAGTTGTTCTGGAAAACTGTCCGACACCTCAGGAGGGGGAAGCAGGGAACCATCCAAGCTGTGTACAGTAAGGATGGGACGTTGTTGACCTCAACTGATGGAGTGTTAGGGCGTTGGAAGGAACACTTTGAGGAACTCCTGAACCCGACAACTCCGCCCTCTATGTTAGAGGCAGAGCTGGAGTATGACGGGGGATCAACACCAATCTCCCGGGGGGAGGTCACTGAGGTCGTCAAACAACTCCACAGTGGCAAAGCCCCGGGGGTGGATGAGATCCGCCTAGAAATGCTGAAGGCTCTGGGTGTTGAGGGACTGTCATGGTTGACACGTCTCATCAACGTTGCGTGGAAGTCGGAAACAGTACCGAAGGAGTGGCAGACCGGGGTGGTGGTTCCCCTTTTTAAAAAGGGGGCTCAGAGGGTGTGTGCCAATTACAGAGGCATCACACTACTCAGCCTCCCCGGGAAAGTTTACTCTAAGGTACTCGAAAGGAGCGTCAGGCCGATTGTCGAACCTCAGATTGAGGAGGAACAATGCGGATTCCGTCCTGGTCGTGGAACGACGGATCAGCTTTTTACTCTCGCAAGGATCCTGGAGGGGGCCTGGGAGTACGCTTATCCGGTCTACATGTGTTTTGTAGACTTGGAGAAGGCGTATGACCGAGTTCCCAGGGAGTTACTGTGGGAGGTGCTGCGGGAGTATGGGGTGAGGGGGTCTCTACTCAGGGCCATCCAATCTCTGTACTCCCAAAGCGAGAGCTGTGTCCGGGTCCTCGGCAGTAAGTCGGACCCATTTCCGGTGAGGGTTGGCCTCCGCCAGGGCTGCACTTTGTCACCAATCCTGTTTGTAATATACATGGATCGGATTTCGAGGCGTAGTCATGGGGGAGGGGGTCTGCAGTTCGGTGGACTAAGGATTGCACCACTGCTTTTTGCAGATGATGTGGTTCTAATGGCTTCATCGGTCTGCGACCTTCAGCACTCACTGGATCGGTTCGCAACCGAGTGTGAAGCGGCTGGGATGAGGATCAGCACCTCCAAATCTGAGGCCATGGTTCTCAGCAGGAAACCGATGGACTGTCAACTCCAAGTAGGGAATGAGTCCTTACCCCAAGTGAAGGAGTTCAAGTATCTCGGGGTCTTGTTCTCGAGTGAGGGAACAATGGAGCGTGAGATGGACCGGAGAATCGGAGCAGCGGGAGCGGTACTGCAGTCGCTTTACCGCACCGTTGTGACGAAAAGGGAGCTGAGCCAGAAGGCAAAGCTCTCTGTCTACCGGGCCATTTTCGTTCCTACGCTCACCTATGGACATGAAGGATGGGTCATGACCGAAAGAACGAGATCGCGGATACAAGCGGCCGAGATGGGTTTTCTCCGCAGGATGGCTGGTGTCTCCCTTAGGGATAAGGTGAGAAGTTCGGTCATCAGGGAGGGACTCGGAGTTGAGCCGCTCCTCCTTCGCGTCGAAAGGAGCCAGTTGAGGTGGTTCGGGCACCTAGTTAGGATGCCACCTGGGCGCCTCCCTAGGGAGGTGTTCCAGGCACGTCCAGCTGGGAAGAGACCAAGGGGTAGACCTAGGACCAGGTGGAGGGATTATATCTCTTCGCTGGCCTGGGAGCGCCTTGGGATCCCCCAGTCAGAGCTGGTTGATGTCGCCAGGGAAAAGAAAGTTTGGGGCTCTCTGCTGGAACTGCTACCCCCGCAACCCGACTACGGATAAGCGGGAGAAGATGGATGGATGGATGGATCTTGAACCTCTACTGCTTTCCATCTGTCAACACACACATAAGCAAACACACACACACAAACACACTCCTATCTAAATGTAAATCATGTGATTCTTGCCTGCAGGGAAAACTTGCTTCACACCCTGCCTCTCTCACAGGCAGTGATTTCCTGTGGATGTATTTTAAAGAACAGACTGGTGGATTGAAGTGCTTCATGCTGCCACCCCTGGGGGTGTATTTGTGTGTGTCTGTGTTTGTGTGTGTGGGGGGGGGGGGTGAGGTTAGAGGGTATGGACTAGAGAGCTGATGAGATGTTGAGGAGAGATTAGTTCTCTAGTGTGTCAGATGATTAGTCTGCGCAAGTGTCCGTTTATGTGTGTGTGCGCGAGCGAGTGTGTGTTTGTGCACTAATGGCTTCTGGTCTGATCTAATCTCTCAATCAATGAGGGAACAGCTTTCTTTCGACCCTCAGACCCCCACAATCAGGGATAACATTGTAACCCGCACATGCAGTACACAAATACCCTGCATTTGTTTGACTGTTTGTTAATAGCAGTTGTCACATGTCCCTGTGTGTGTAGTTCTTGGCAGACCTGGAGTCCAACCCTCTGCTGCGGGACAGCATGGAGTGCCAGCGGCTGCTGATGGAGGGGATGAAGTATCACCTCTTGCCTCAGCGGCAGCCTCTGCTGCAGAGCCCCCGTACCCGACCCCGCAAAGCCACTGTGGGGGCCATGTTCGCTGTGGGGGGCATGGACGCCACAAAAGGTACAAACAGTCCCTTTGATGTTACCACACACCTCCATACATTTCGTTTATATAGTATATTATAATGGAAATGATAAAAATCCTAATAATGATATCATCTTTATTCATAGTGTTCAGGTTTTTGGTTCTGGCCGGCACCAGACCATGCTCTTTTTGTTGAATGTAGGACATGTGTGTGTGGGATATGGATGTGCAGAGTAAAGGACACATTTGTTTTTTTAATTGTTGTATTATATAGTATATTTTTAGTGATTTGGAAGATGTTTTTATGTTTTATTTTTATTCTGTTGATTTTTTTTGTAGAAGGTCATTAAAAACAAATGTTGTGTGAACGAAAAAAAAAGAAGGTTTATCTTATCCTATTGTAAGCAAGGGCAATGTAATAAAAACAGGTAGACAATAAAAAGACAATATATGCTCAAATATAAAAGGTGGAAAAACAGCCCATTCAAATTAGATGGACCAAACACCTAATGCTCTTTGTAGGTTGCAGCCTTAGTGCGCACTAATGCTCATCAAGGCCGGCTGTTTATATTCTACATGTTACTTTGTTGTTTTGTCCAGGTGCTACCAGTATCGAGCAGTACTGTCTGCGTCAGGACACGTGGAGGCAGGTGGCCATCATGAGTGGACGGAGGCTGCAGTTTGGTGTGGCGGTCCTTGACGGCCGTCTCTACGTGGTGGGGGGCCGAGACGGACTCAAGACCCTCAACACTGTGGAGTGCTACAACCCGCACAGCAAAGCCTGGAGCGTCATGCCTCCCATGTCCACGCACAGGCATGGCCTAGGTGAGAAGCTTGTTTCAATAGAAATGTATTATACACTCAGTGGACACTTTATTAGATACACCTGCACAACCTAATGTAATCCAATACAAACGTCCTGAGATGATGTCTACTTCAATGATTGTGGTCAGTTTTTGTGTTTTTTCACAGTCATTGAGGTGTAAGTCCAATGACATATATTTAGCATTAAGGTCATGGTGTAGATCAGGGGTACTCAAACTTTTTTGTTAGAGGTCCACTTGTGAATTTTATACAAGGTCAATGGTCCGGATCAATGCCAGTAAAGTCCCCCACACCCCCGGAGCGGAGCAACGAAACTGAAATTAAGAAGCAGTTTGGGCGCGCTATGCATGTACTTTGGTCAGGAGGTTTTAAAGTGCTATATAAATAAAGTTGGATTGGATTGGATTGGATTAATCTACTTTATTTGGGGGCCCCCTTCTGGTCCAAGCACTTGCCTGTCGGTAAACGGCGCCCCTGTATACACACAGACATTCAATACATACATACATACATACATACATACATACATACATACATACATACATACATACATACCTACATACATACATACATACATACATACATACATACATACATACATACATACATACATACATACATACATACAGTATCATGGCTTGAACTAGTGGGAGAAATGGCACTGTTTGTCTGTAGCCAATGCCTTAAACCTCGGCAAAAATGGCATTAGAAGCATTAGAAAGTCAAGGTAAACTTGTGGTTAACTTAAATGCGTGTCACGCTCGCGCACACAAGTAAATATATGCACGTTCATTCTCAGAACGCGTCAGACACAAGACAATATACATTAAAGGGGACCTATCATGCAAAATGCACTTTGTGATGTCTTTTATACATAAATATGTGTCCCGGGTGTGTCGGGGAACTCACGCAGCGTCAGAAAATAAAACCCGCTCTCTTTTCCTCCGTACCCAAATCTTTTAAAAACAGGGGTACAACGAGCGGATATAGATTTGCTGCCAATCTGACGTCAAATCGGTAGCGGACCCACATAAAATTGCTATCAGAACCAATGCCTGACGCGTTTTGAACGTGTTTTGGACGTAATCTCGTCTTTGTTTACATTAGCAAGCCTCGCTAACACTCAGAGCTAACCTGTACTGGAGAGCAAATGTGTTTAAAAAGCAGGAAATAAAAGGAACTCACCTTGTGATAAACCTGCAAGAGAAAAAGCATTTGAGCTCCATACTGTTTCAGAAATAATCCTTGATGTGGTTTAGAACAGGATGGCGTTTTATCACAACAGAATTTAACTTTATCTCCGGTAGAATTCTGATCAGGCATTAGCTCCGCCTCCTCTTTTTTTTTTTCAAGCTAAGGACCCAAAATCCGCGTTTCTCTAACAGGGCTGCACAAGAGGGGTATGAGCAGTATGAGGCATGGCTAAAATGGGTGAACTGTTTGGTATGTTAAGCAAAAAACTTCACAGACCTATATTTGTATAGGTATGGCCCTACAATATATATTTTCCAATATAGCATAATAGGTCCACTTTAATTGACATCAGAATCAGATTTTTTCTTAATAATTTTTTTTTGTTATATAATGGGACACAGGGTTCGGTCCGGATTGATTTGCAGTTCGGTCCGGATCCGGACCTTAGTCCGGAGTTTGAGAAGCCCTGGTGTAGATGTTGTACTGCTCTGTATTATAATACTAATATTCTGCCTCCCTCATACAGTATATGTAAATTAAAAGGACAAAGAATTAGCATGTAACAGCACTTCACACCTTACAGTACATACAAATGCAATATACCATACATTTTAAGACAATATCAGTGAACATCAAAAATGTCTTTGTTAAGATAGATGTTATGGGAGGGTTGTTCTATTGGATGGTATTACATGTTAAGTGCTTCATAAGTTGGCAGAGGATTGTTCCTACATAACAAACCAAAGAGAGCTTAGGTCAAATAGAGAAGCTAAAGAATAGCTATATTAAAGAGGAAGGTCATGTTTTTGTGATGTGAATTTTGAGTTTGGTAAATCTTGTCTTTCCATTTGCTGTGCAAGTCTACAATTACAAAAGTTGAAGGAATGCGTTGGTGGTGCATTATTCTTTTTTATAAATGTGAGCATGTGTTATGAATGGAGATTCTAGCACACATCTGGCACCACAGATGTTCTGGGAGATAAATCCCTTGAGTGTGGAGGTGTCAACATGCTGCTAACTCTGCATGCTTATGTCCACACACCTCACCCTCTCGTCCTAAACGCATGTGGTTTCATGTGCTTGTTCAAGCTGATAGTGTCTTGGTAGGTTGCCCTGATTAAATCATGCACATGTGCTTGTGAATCACAGGTGTAGCCGTCCTAGAGGGGCCCATGTATGCAGTAGGAGGACATGATGGCTGGAGCTACCTCAGCACAGTGGAAAGGTAAGAGGATACTTCACACAGCTGTTTTACTTCGTGTTATTTTCTGCTTAAAGGTTTAGTCTGAGATTCTAATCCAATTTACTTTTTTTTATATTGATCAAAATACTCGTCATGGTCTGCTAACTGTCCATTAAAAAAATAAATCTGGTCTTCACAAACGCTCTTTAAATAAGAAATAAACAGGGTGTATGTGCTGAAATGACTCCTATTGGAGTTTTTGAATGAATCTTTAAATGTCCATTCAGCTGCCTGTCTTTCTTTGTGTGTGCAGCAGGCAGGATACCATTGAAAGAATGTCAGTTTAGCCATGTTTGTTTTTATTATGTGCAGGACTAAGAACTTTTCACCTCTCTTTTACCAGGTGGGACCCCCAAGCTCGCCAGTGGAGCTTTGTTGCAAGTATGGCTACACCCAGAAGCACAGTGGGAGTAGCTGTACTCAATGGAAAGTAAGGAAATGCACTCACTATTGCTTTACATTTCTACATATATCAAAGTTACATAGTACATGCACTGTAACATTGAACATGCGTTTAGATCTTTGTTTAGGACATCCATTTGTTCTTGGATTCAGTATGGACTTGGATAAATCAATGCAAATTAATACATTTACTTTTTTAGTAGAAATGTAAAAACAAAGTACTTACTACAGATATATATACTGCATCAACCTACCTCATTATAGTAAATAGCCAATGTATGCCAAAAAAAGAGTAAAGTAATTAGCAACATGTAGCGTTTGAGCCCAATGGAGAACATCTGTCAATGGCCTGAAACCAAATAGTTTTGGTTCTCTGGAGTAAGAAGAATTTGACTTCATGGGAAAACATACCTAGAGCTTCACACACTCTGCTTGTTTGGAAAATTGGGGTTACAAAGATTAAGTTATCTGCAGTGCTTTGCTGACACAATGACAATACTCAATTACACACTCACAGTCCCTAGTGAACCAATGCACCTAATAATCGTGGGATTTAATACGTAAAATCTCCTCAGTTGCCCCAGAGTTTTTGCAATATCGCAGCGCCGTTTTATTATTCAGTGCCTCTTAGAGAACTGGGGAGAAAGGCTTTTAAGATGCTAATTAATACAGAAATAACTGATTTGTGCTAAGCATGTGTGTGAGTGCATGTATGTGTTGTGACTTCTCTGGGCTCTTTGCCTGATGGAGCTCATTCCTTGCTTGACTGGCTCTGATGCTTTCTTTCTTCACTCTGCCAACTCCCCATCAATGAATGTGTGTACATACAGTTCACACACACACACACACACACACACACACACACACACACACACACACACACACACACACCACTGACCGAGGGACTGCTCTGGGTTGTGAAACCACCAGGGGTTTTAGCTGATTGATTTCTCTCACCTCACTTTATCCTCAAATACTAAGAAACACACATTTAAATACACCCTTGCACCATCTGTTTCGATGTCACCAAATGGAAAAGGGACTTCCAGAGTCCTGAAATGTGCAGGGTGTTTGGTATGGCAGGTGTGTGTGTGTGTGTGTCCAGAGGGATAACACTGTCTCCTGTCTTGCCTCCTCAGGCTGTACGCAGTCGGAGGTCGTGATGGCTCATCCTGCCTGCGATCAGTGGAATGTTTCGACCCCCACACCAACAGGTCAGAGACACAGGACTTCATTTTGCCAGAATGAATTGCTGTCTCCTGTTTGCTGTGCTTTCTAATAAAGCGCCTCTGTGTTTTTAAGGTTATTTACCCACAGATCAAAGGAGACAGCTAACCCTCTCAGGATGTTAGAATAAACCGCATTCAAACAACTTCTGTTCAGTACATTCATTAGGTTCTTCACATGGGCTCAGACAAGGTTGTTATTGGTCCCCTGAACATATAGTTGTTCTTTATTTTAGAGCACATTTTGGAAGATTTTGAGTTTGCACATTTTCAAGGTGTTAATTATTGGAACAGTTTTAAGGCAAGGCCAAAGGGGAAACTAATTTAGAGGAATATTTGTATTTAATTTTACATTTTTGAGAATAAAGCCTGAACGTTACTTAGTGTCAGATATTACAGTTCTTTTTCCATATTGAGAATTCTTGAAATGTAAAATAAAATAAAAATCTTCCTCCTCAATATATTGAGTTTTTCACCGTGATTTTGTCTCTCTTTCTCTCCTTGATGGTGACAACCTCCATCAACAGGTGGAGTGCTTGTGCTCCTATGGCTAAAAGGCGTGGAGGTGTGGGCGTGGCCACGTGGCACGGCTTCCTGTACGCCATCGGGGGTCACGATGCTCCGGCCTCATCCCTCGCATCTCGGCTCAGTGACTGTGTAGAGAGGTGGGTCTATATTGTTTGTTTGTAGCCTTTATTTAACCAGGTGAAAATCCCATTGAGATCAACGATCTCTTTTTCAAGGGAGACCTGCAGCACATTGGTTACACATAAAAACAACAAATTGACTGAATATGTGTGAATCTGAAATGTAAAATTCTCAGTGCACAATTTACTGTGTGATGTTAAAATGTACATACTAAATAAATAAAATACATTTAATTTATATAGCGCTTCTCATCTGCCAAGACAAATCTCGAAGTGCTTCACAACAAGGGATATTGATACACTTTGAGAGATTAAACAAATAATTGTAATAATAATAAGAAATCAAAAAATAAAAAATAAAATAGCGTACAAAAGTAAAAGTCGGAGATAGCGATAAAAATGGCAATACTCCAGGTGTACCATGCTCAAAGTTTATTGGAAGGCCTGCCGAAAGAAGAGGGTCTTAAGGCCGGTTTTGAAGACCTCGGTGGAAGGGGCAGATCTCAGCTGATCTGGGAGGGAGTTCCAGAGGCGCGGGGCGAATGAGCAGAAGGCTCGGTCTCCCATTGTTCGGAGACGTGTGCGGGGGATGTGAAGAAGAGGAGCGTGGCTGGAGCGGAGAGAGCGGATAGATGTCTGGGTATGGATGAGGTCACAGAGGTATTTTGGGCTTTGTCCATTCCGGGCTTTGTACGTGAGGAGCAGAACCTTAAACTGGATCCTGTAGTGGACTGGGAGCCAGTGTAGTTTTGCAAGTATGGGTAGTATACTACACGTTTTCAATTCTAGACATAGCGGTTATAAAAGAATAGGTGAATGCAACCAACTCTTATCTGGCTTATTTGCAAAGACCAATATGAGAAGCTCGATACCACTGGTGTGTGGAATATTGAGAAGAACATGTTAAGCGTAGCATTAAGTGCAAAAGCAGGACAGCTGCTCTGTACAAATAAAAAAAATATGATGACCAAAAACAGTGAATTTGATTCATTACCACATTGTTTTTTTAGCCGTTTGATGAGTGCATACAAAAACAGAAGACCGTTTATATTTTAAGGTAGAGTTAGGTCTAACTATTTTCTGATAAACAGATTACTTGCAAATGTTCTTTTTATTAAAGTTTGTTAGGTTAACCTCATCACTGAATGAGATAACAATTCAGAATCACAATAGTGAGTCTATTTGCAGTGTTCTGAATTGGATGTCTGGTGCAATTCTAACAGAAAAGCTAAATGACTGCTAAAGCAAACCAAACATTTGCTACTGTTGTAGATTCTAATTAAAAGTATTTAACCTGTGAAACAAGAGTTGACTTTTATTATAGTCACAGCACATCTGAGCTTCACCCTTATGGCTATCGTTCATCAAAAATGCATTTACATATCAAGACAACAGCATTTTTTGACAGCGGATCAGTTTGAAATATAGCAGGGAGTAATGTTAGAGTCAGGAGCTGTGAGATGAAGAGCTGCAGGCGACAGACAGACCTCCAACTTCTCACCAAGTACTTTCAAAGACTCGTGCCATGTGTGGCATCAAATCAGATCACAGTTGCTCACAGAATGATGGAAAAAAAGCCAATTACTGCGTGACTTCATTATTAAAATGAATCTGGGGCCTGTGTTACTAAACTGTATTTGCTGTAACCACCAGTTAATACTGTGTTACCAAATGACCCAGGAGAGAAATCTTATGGATTGCAATTGATGTACTCAAACATGAAATTGGATTGTCATCTAACTGGTGTGTTTCCCAATATGTTGAACTATCGAACATGCATGGTCTGCTTACAGGTATGACCCGCAGACAGATGTGTGGACGGCAGTTGCCCCCATGAGCATCAGCAGAGACGCGGTTGGTGTTTGTCTCCTTGGCGACCGCCTCTACGCTGTGGGCGGTTATGACGGCCAGGTGTATCTTAATACTGTAGAAGCGTACGACCCTCAGACAAACGAATGGACACAGGTAACACTCACAAACACACAAAACTGCAACATGCACATGAATGCAGTTTCTATGCTTGGAGGGAAAGAGTCAGTACAATTTAATAAGCTGTGTTGTTTTAAAGTACACTCATATGCAGCAGATTTATATGTATCCACTTGATTGCATGTACATAGACACATGACTCTAGTTCAGTAAAAACGGGTAATAAATCCTGATGCACGTCAATAAAGTTGTTATATAAACACACACAGTTTGACCTTCCTGCAGCGCCTCTCTCATTTATCATTGTGTGTTTTCATTGCTATGTAAATGTGTATTTGCCTCGAGTTAATATTGTCCTTTGCCGACGCAGCTGTAGGAAAAAGGATGTTCCTATTTACACATGTATTTGTTTAAGTTGAATGATCACATATTTCAGCATCAGCATATTTCTGATCACACCACAGTTGTTACCTTATCTCCTGCATAGCCCCAGAGGGTTCTCACTCAAAGACGCTGAAAATCTGCTATTTTGGAGACAAGCCCCATGCTGAGAACAAGAGGGGTGTAGCGATGGGTAGATAGAGAAAACTGACACTTTGAGATGAAGACAAACTGAGATGTGAGCGGGCATGTTGAGACCGTTAAATGTGTCCTCTGTTTACTGTCAGAATCTGAAACCAGAGGATGGGTTGTCTGTCCTTTTCTGTCATCCCTTATCCTCCTTGCTTGAACACAAACTGTCAATCTTTTTACTTCAAAGTCAGACAACGTTGTAAATTCATGTTTTTAAACTGTCCGTCAGCTTCGACTATCGGTGTAGAGCCAGCGGCTAAAGGTCTTAACAGGACTAGACAACAATACAAATCTAAAGCCTCCCCTTGAAGCCAAAGAATAACCCTCACTTCCTGCGCCCTGCCGTGCTAAACTCTGTCTCCTTTGCAGAGAGTGAGCAGCTGAGGGAAGATTCACAATGCAATCCATTCCCTTCATTTGACTAACTTACTTCAAAGATCAAGTGTTGACCTTGAAAACAACAGTGGGCAAAGCAATCTCATTTTAGATCTCATTTAGTAGTTATACTGGAGTTTCAAATCAAATCACATAATCTTTATCAGCAAAGTGGGATTTATGGCTTTTTCACACCAACAAAATTGGCTTACCGAAAAATAACATTATTAAAGCAGTGAGAGTGAACCAAAGGTTGCAGGCTGAAAGAAAGACATGCTGAAACTTGCTATAGAGCTCCCCAAAGATGACGGAAGCTTGGCGATGTGTTGGTTGTGTTTATTAAATAGTTGGTCCCTCCTTCCAGTAGTCGCATTGCTGAATTTTTTTTGTTTAATCAAGCTGTACCTCTGATTCTGGTTTTCTTTTCATTATTACCAGGTAGCACCTCTGTGTCTGGGAAGGGCAGGAGCATGCGTGGTGGCCGTCAGACTCTGAAAACATAAACATCAACACCCTATGCTAGATTGTGCATGTGGCTCTGAGACCCTCAGTGTACCGCTAATGGTCAAGAAACCATCTGCCTGCCATCGTGTGACCAACGCCGGGAAGTTAGAGACTGATGACACACTTCGGCGGAGTCAGATTGAGCTGCCTTTCATTCATTTTAATGTTTATGTTTGGGTAAGCGTTAAATCGCGTGTCAGGTTTCTGAAAAGGTTTAGGATTTGAACATCCTGATAACATATGCCACAGAATTGAACCGCCATCGACACCCATGATGAAGAGGTGTTTATCTGAGCATGAAGGAACACCTGTCGTCTCGCAGCTTATTTTCTTGCCTATTATTTTGTTCCTGCAGACAAGGCGGGACACACATGCACAAAAACCTACATGGTTGCTTTCAGCTTCTATTTCTGCTGACAGAAAGGTGAGAGAGACAGAGAGATATTGTCAAGAGACTGTTTGCGGGGCCTGATCCTTTTACGCTCTGGTTTCTCCTAATAATATCTGATGCCGTGCATTGATGCTATTTTAATATAGTCCCTATTATTTTATGCTGCAGTCGGCGAGTTGCTCTCCTCTTTCTTTCCGTTTCCTGCCTGCTGACAGATGAAAGAAAGACTTTTGACATAATCAGCACAAGCTTATGAAGCCCTACTGTAATAAACTGTGACGCTCTTGTTTCTTTTCAGTCAAAAACATATCACAATGCTTTTTTTCTAATATTTATGTTTACGTCTTCCATGTTGCATCAGCTCACATCTGGAGCATACAGTATACTGTGACATCTATTTTATTGTAGCTTTTCTTACAATCTACAATGATATCATATCCGTTTTCATAGTTGAGGTCCATTTAGCACTGCTATTAGATTTATAACCAGAGAAGTAATAATAATACAAGTAACTGTGGCCATTTGCTGATCCCATTTCCCACAGGGTCAGCTATCTACAAACTTGGTTTCATTCAGTGTGTGTGTGTGTGTGTGTGTGTGTGTGTGTGTGTGTGTGTGTGTGTGTGTGTGTGTGTGTGTGTGTGTGTGTGTGTGTGTGTGTGTGTGTGTGTGTGTGTGTGTGTGTGTGTGTGTGTGTGTGTGTGTGTGTGTGTGTGTGTGTGTGTGTGTGTGTGTGTGTGTGTTTTCAGAGATTGCATGGAGTATATTTTCATCTCAAAATGAGAATCTCCCTGCTGTTTTCTCTTCCTCCCCATTTTCCCATTTCGTTGCCACACACACACACACACACACACACACACACTACGTTTTAGTGCAGGATGGATACCCAGACAAAATGAACACATCATATAATGAAACCTTGATCCAGCTGGTGCCAATGTTTTGTTTGATGTTGAGTTCAAAGCTATTATTATTATATTTGATGCTGTGGACCTCATGTGTTCATATTTTTGCCCATGCTTTTGTGAACTTGCAGGTTCAATGCTGACACGTGCCACCAGCATTTTGTGCTGTATACTTAATTTTATATGTTTTCCATTAGGCTCAACCTGCTTCTCTGGTGTGTGTGTGTGTGTGTGTGTGTGTGTGTGTGTGTGTGTGTGTGTGTGTGTGTGTGTGTGTGTGTGTGTGTGTGTGACAAAGCAGCCTTCCTGTCTGAACTGACATATCTAGCCCCCAGGATGCACTTCACAAATACACGGACATATCACACACACAAACACACACACACATACAGCGACACACTTAACCACACAGCTGAAAGCCACGTGCCCCAGGAGCCAGTGAAGATTGAAAAGCCTTCCAGATTTGCAGGCATGACATCTTAAAAGCAGAGACTGTTGGCTAGCGATTCCCCACAGCTGAGCCGATGTTTATTCAAGCCTAATGCACTGCTGCATTATTCTATTTTCTTCCCCTTCATACAGCTGCTTATTTAGAGAGTCATTCTCTTTAGATCAGAGCAGAAGAAGTGTGTCACCGCCACTGTGTAGAGGTAGTCAGAGAGTTTGATCTCAGTCAGAGGTTAAAAATAAAGACCGACATTCCAAATCATGTTATATATTCTGTGTATATTCTGTACATAAATAAATATAAAATCTGTATGTAGTCTAATTGCATTATGCTGTATATTATACAGCGCCAAATAAATCTATCATGTGTTATTGTGCGTTTCTGTTTTGTATTATGAATTGAGATGAAGCCGGGGTGTAATAAAGTGACACTGAGAAATGGTATAGTTGCTCATCTGCTCTTTTTGTACCAGAATATTACAACTTTTACTTTCCATTTCAATTATGTAATATATGCTTATGTAACATACTGTTATCAATCTTTTATAGTATAAAAGTCAGGATGTGATAGGAATATACAAAACCTTACAATAATATCTAACTCATATTAATGTTACTGATTTCTGCAGTTTTTATCTGTCACAGATGCACTATAAATGCCATCGTGGTGTAAATGTGTATGTTTATGTGTGGCTCTTATCTCTTAACAGCATCCCCATCAGAGCAGCCCTTTGCAGTTCACAGTTTCTATGGTTTTTATGCTCTGAATTAATTTTCTTGGCCTGGGTGTTTAATATGAGCCCTTACTCTTCTGTGCTGGTGCTCTAACTTAGAAGCTACAGCCGGAGCCAGAGACACAGCGGCATATTGAAACGTTTTAAACAAGCCTGTAAGAAAGAGGAATGCTCACAATTTACAGATACTTTAACCCCAGGACAACAGCCAGGAGCCAACTGATTCACTATGTTATTTATTGCAGGGGAAGCTTTTAATCATAACCAGCTCTGACAAACAGCCCTCGTGGCGCTGATAAATGACGCCAGTGACCTTGTCTTGCCACCTGAGTCCATTATGTAGGAGACAGAAAGGGCCGGACTGTCTGACTCCACATGTTTGTCATACAAGTGTTGAAGTACCCGGAAAACAATTTAGACATGCAGCTGCCTATGTGTAAGTGCTGCACACAGGTACACACATCTGCATCTACTAACTTAGTTACTGTACTCATCGGTGAGTCAATGCAAACGTAAGCTGTGCAGCCAACTGTTGTCTAAAGCTTTATTTGAAAATCTAGTGGTGATCCGAAGTTTCCAAAAACATTGCAAACCTATCCGTCTGAATAAAGTATGTAAAACGATGAACAACATTTTTAAGAATATGGATTTTATTAAAGGAAGCAGCCATAAGACAGTCTTGTGTTTTTACTAGGGCCGGGACTTTAACGCGTTAATTAAGATTAATTAATTACACAAAAATTAACGCGTTAAAAAAATTAACGCATTTTAATCGCACTTATTTTTGCACCGCGGAACGTTTCTCACTGGATGAGTTTCAGGCGTACCGATTATACTGGAGCACCAACTAACGTTCATGACTTCAGACAACAACAAACCACAGTGAACAACAGTGGGAAATATTGTTTTAAAAAACGGACGGATGGAAGCGTTGATAAGAGCACGGTTGTGTGCAAATTATGCAAAAAGGAATTCGCATATCACCGCAGCACATCAAGCCTCAAGTATCACCTCAATGCAAAACATATAGCAGCTAGCGTGGAAGCTAGCGTGGACGTTAGCCTCTTTTATCGCGTTCACACCATACAGTCTATGGTTCACACCAAAAAGAGCCGGTACTAAAATTAGTTCATGAGAACCTTTTTACCCCCACGAAAGTCCCTGCTAGAGAGCAGAGAGCTGCTAGAGAGCAGGGACTTTCGTACGGCTCTCTTGTGAGAAAAGAGCTATATTTCTGATTGGCTGGGCGGATTGCAAACCACGCCCCGTAAAACTCCCAAAAAGTTTGGTGAAGCCGCCATTTTATTATCCTCGCATTAGCATTATTAGCATTAGCCCAGCGCAGAAACGCAGAGAGACTAACTTATGGCAACACAAAATAAAACATGGGAGCGGTGGAGATGAGGAGGTGTCGGCGTTCTGGCGATTTACACTCGGAAGGCTGCTGGGACTCCCAGCAGCTTCTACTGAAGCCAGTCCCCAACTCCGGGGACTTCCGGCCGGGGACTTTGGGCGGCAGTATACGCCGTGAAGTGGTTTGCGGCCTGCCAGTAAACCCAAAGCAGAAGAAGAAGAAGTGACGTCAGCGGCTTCATTTGTTCTCATGAACTAAGTTCTCATGAACCTTTGTGGGAAAAGTACTGCGGTGTGAATGCGCCTAATGGTATACTAAAATCCATGTGAAAAAAATTGCTTCTCACTGTTCTCAAGTCAAATATTTATATGCGATTAAAAATGCGATTAATTTCGATTAATTAATTACAAAGCCTCTAATTAATTAGATTAATTTTTTTAATCGAGTCCCGGCCCTAGTTTTTACAAGTCATTCAGAAGGAAGTGCTGAAGCTTAATCAAGCAGCCAGAACATATCATACTGAGTCAATAGAGTGATACTGTCAGACTGTTTCTAAAAGTGTTCATTACAATCAACAGTGTTATCACAGTGTGCACACCTCTCCAACTACTCATCATTTACCAACATTGTCATCACTTTGTCTAGATGTTTTTCAATGTCACTTCTTTTAAGTACTATATAATATAATAACCTTATTAGGGATATTGAAACATATTTAGAGTATGTTTGTTAACCTTAAAGGTACAAAAAGTACAAATTGGCACATGACTTCTTGTTTTAAGTGAAGCATGAAAGTTTGGATTCTACTGGTTCAATGTGTTGTTAAAGGTTAGATTATCCTGCAAGGAAAGTCAATGGGAATCAGGCAGCCTAAATCGCAACATTAAAGTGTCTTGCAGCACTGCCAGAATCTACAGAATATGAACACTTAAGTAGGACTTTGTAATGCTTTCTCAATGTCTGTATAATTCCTTTTTCGACTTCACAACTGAATCATAAGCCTATTCTTGTGGGCTTATTTGTACGGAATAAGGAGGAGATTAATTAACTGCAATCGATCAGAAGCTAATTTCCTCTGCAGCTGTTTGACCTCAACAGTGCATTTTTGTAAATTACATACTTTGTATGACTCATTGCAGGATTGCTTGTATTACATTGATGTAATTGATCTTTCATTATTGAATTTAATAACAATGTAGTTCAAAAAAGGAATATTGCAAAAGCATTGATTCACTCTTACTCGTTGTCTTACTGGCAAAAGTAAAACAAATCTGTTTCTTTTTTTCTTCTCTGCTCTAATTTCACCATTTTGCTTGGAAATCATAAATCGGCTCCCTTATGCGCATCTTAATGAGATCTAAGTCTGCATCAGCTCGCTGTAGAACAGAGAGGACTATTTGTGTCACACCGCTGGCATTTCATTTCAGCTCCCACATTAATAGAGCTAAAATAGGCTCTCACCCTTCCATCAATACATGGGAAAGTAAAGAGGGTGCGGAATCACCAGAGTGTTTCCTCTGCCTTTCATCAATAATGAAATAACCCAAGAGAAGAAGCAGCATGATGTATTTCAGATGAATGAAAGTACAGTGAGCCTGCTCAGTAAAGAGTTAGAGAAGCAGCAGATGGTGTATCCTCTCTTTCAAAGAGCATTATTGATTGCTTATAGCCTTCTATCAAAAGATTAGAAGGGACAGAGCAGATGTCAGAGACAATGTGACAGTGGGATGGTAAGGTCCTAGAAGTTGTGCGAGTTTGCCGTCTACTGGATATGGGGTGTAAGCACACTGTCACAGAATTTACTGAAGTACAAAATCATTTGCATTAAAATATACTTGGAAGTGAAAGTATTTAGGCATACGTTTTTGAGGCAGAATGGCTATTTAAATAATAATATACATTACATTTATGGGTAATATGCATTAAATACCTTATCCAGTATAGGATTGCAGGATCATAAAACCAAACCTCTAAATATAGCATTTCAATATGTCTTCTGTGTAAAAGGCATATTCTGAGATTTGAATTTCATCCTATGAATATAGCCCGACAACAATCAATCTTAAAATGTCACATGATAAATGAATAAGAAAAGTATGGACAAAATACAGGTAAAAAAACAATAAACATGAACAGACTTTAAAAACAACAAAATAAGACTTTATTAGAGTAAAGGTTAATACTTAGCAATCAACAATTAATAGGCTAGCTTTTTTAACTCATTATAAAGGCTGTCTGATGAATGTAGTGGAGTAGGCTATATATATATATCTCAACCTTCAAATCCTGCCTGAAAACCCACCTTTTTAATCTGGCGTATTCTATATCATAATTCCTCTAAACTGATTGTTGTTTTTAAGACTTTGTTTTTTAAGTCTCGAATTACTGTTTGACCTTCTTTGTTGCTTGTTTTTAATCATCCTCTGTAAGGTGTCCTTGATAGCTTTGAAAGGCGCTCATAAATAGAATGCATTATTATTATTATTATTATAAGTAAAAAAGTTGAAGATTCAATGTCATAAATATATAAGACATAATCAATAAAACATTACAAAAATAGTGCAAGAACAAACGGAACAGAAATAAAAAATAGTGCAAGATAATGTTGCAAATGACCAATGTGCAGGTAAAGATGGTTCGAAGGAAACTATGTATGTCAAATAGTATATGATGAGCTAAAGACAGAATGTAAAATGAATTACAGTACAAGATTAAAATATAACGTTTCTTCAATATTAAAACTCGTATATTATCTAACACAACTCATATTATGCTATATCAATATTTTAAACAAAAAGCAGTACATGTTCACCCAGCTCTGCTTTAGAGGCCCCCCATTGGCTAACGGTTGTTGCTATGACATCGCCGTAGCTTCTGCAGACGCTTCAGAGTGAAGCATTGTGGGATACACACAACAGTGTCGAGGATGTTATTTTTTACAGTAACCATCGATTAAAAGTGTAACTGATTAAACGCCATCAAGATGAAGGTGGGTACCAGCCAAGCCATGTAAAGTGATAGCATTACATCGGTTTTTAGGATTTCAGGCTTGAGTTTGAGCACAGGAACGGCTTCAGACGGCTAGCTAACAGAGCTACTTGCTAACGTTAGCGTTAATTAGGCAGCTAAGTTACTGTTGTGTGGTCGGTGTACATTGGACAAAGTTAACTCGTTAGCTAAACCAGCTATTTTGTTGGCGATAGCAAACCAACTACCAACTTATTGCGTTTCTAGGTGCAACTAACTCATTATAGAACTATGTATACCAAATGTCAGGGTAACATTGAGATATTCACTAAGATCAAAACAATATTTAAGCATGGTGCTAAGTTAGTAATAATGAGCACAATAATC